CCTGTCCCCCCCCAGCCGCTCCACGAGGCTGCTGCAACACAAGGTTGAGATGGAGGGGTGCAAGGGCCAGCCAGCAGGGAAGCTGGAACAGCAGTGGAGCCTCTGGAAGGTGAAGAAAACTGCCCCCAGGGCATCAAGGAATGCCAGTACAAAGGGAAAACCTCCTCCTGGCCAGGGCCATCCCTGGTGCCAGGACAGGAAGGTCAGGGCCACTCCCCATCCCTGACGGTATATGGCCAGTTCAAGTCACACAGGTAGATGAAAACGGGTCCTTTTAGGGCCACAGGGCAAGTATCACAGCAGCAGCTTGACTCCAGCAGAGACCCCGGCCCGGTCCACGTCACGCTCCACTCACTGCTACCAGGACATGGAGAGTGACCGGACGGGGCCCTCCTTGTCCTAGCTGGCCTGCTGGGCTTCAGAGATGAGGTGCATTCTGGGGTCATAGGTTCCCCCACCGCTCCACAGGTGGGAACTGGTCCACCTCTCCCACCTCCGTGCTCAGCTGCTCCCCGAGGGCGAAGGTCAACCTGTAGCGGAGCCGCACCTTCTCCTGTGACAGAGGGGCAGGTAAGCCCCAGCCCAGTGGCCTCTCCTGGCCTGTCCCCCAGCCCGGGCAGGGGCACCTGGGGCCTCGGGCTGAAGTCCAGGATGTCGCTCACCTTCAGTGGATTGGCCAGCAGCATGACCTGGGTGATGGCTGCAGGTGGCTGGACGGGGCTGAAGGGAGACAGTTCTGTCCCCGAGGGGGGCTGCAGCTTGACTTTCATTGTCTGGAGAGGAGAATGTCCTCTCAGAGCACTGGCAGGTGCCCAAGGAACCGCTTGTGCTCAGTGGACCCCACTCTGGCGGTCCTGAAGCCGGGGTTTCAGATGGAGCCCGGGGAGCCCACTACCTTGGGCACTGCCGCCTGCAGCACGATGCTCCGGACAGCCACGGGGGCCGTATTCAGCATGGACACCACTACCACCAGCACGTCAGGCCGCCCCGGCGGGCACTCCTTGGCGAAGTGGAAGAGGATGCGGAAGCCATTTTTGTCATAGGCTGTGACAGGAAGGGCACTGCCTGCAAGATGGCACCATGTGGCGGTTGGAGGAGCGCAGTCAGTGCCCCAGGGAGCTCCCAGGTGCCTGCTGTGACACCCACAGGGCCCCCCTTCCGAGTCTGGGGAAGGCCCTGTCGATAGCCTGAAGCCACGAAGCTGCTGCCAGCAGAGCCAGTGAACTGTGGGCCCCGAGGAGGCAGCAGCTGCGACTCTGGCCCACCTCCCTTCCCACCTTCAGCCTCTAGCACCTACTGGGCTTGATGGACTCCAGGGGCACATGGACACTGGCCAGCGAGAGCTCAGGCCCTTTTATGGGGCTGTCCTGGGGCTGCAAGGCTGGCGGCTGGAAGAGAGGGCTGCCTGGCCCGGCGGAGAAGGGCAGGAGGGGCCTGGCTGGGGCAGTAGGGGTGGTCAGAGGGGAAGCAGCAGCTCCTGGAGAGAAGCGGGAGGAACCGGGTTTCACCAAGCCCGAGGTCCTGGGAGGCAGGAAGACAAAAGGCAAGTCAG